ACTCTGTCACTCAGGCTGGAGTGCAGTGGTGTGATCTTGGCTCACTGCAAACTCTGCTTCCTGAGTTCAAGCAATTCTCGTGCCTCAGCCACCTGAACAGCTGGGACTACAGGCATGCACCACCATATCCAGCTAATTTTTGTAATTTTAGTAGAGACAGGGTTTCACCACATTGGCCAGGCTCCTGCCTCAGGTGATCTGCCTGCCTCAGCTTCCTAAAGTGCTGTGATTACAGGTGTGAGCCACTGTGCCTGGCCCACTTCCAGCTTTTCTGATAGTCTCTCCTGTCACTTCATCACTGGCCTCTCATATTGTATTTGCTATAATTGCAGTGTCCCCAGAATTTGGTCTTTTATCCTCAGGTCTCCTTAATCACCTTGGTAATCAATCCATTCTCAATGGCTTCAAATACTGTTTCTATTCATACGACTCATAGATTCCTTTCAATCAATTGGGATGCTGTTCTGTCAACACAAATGCAGTGTAGACAGGGCCAAATTAACACCTTATAGCCTCTCCAGACCACCTTTGAGATTGGCTTCATTTCCCAAGGCACTGTAATTTTCAGTTATCCAAACTTGACCTCCAAACACACTACATTTAGAACAGGGCTAGGTCTCCAGTAAGTACTTATTAACTTCACCTGAAATGGCCATGCTCAATTGGTACTACCAGTCACTCCACACACAAGTAAGGATGACTACTTTCCCACAGAGGCATCATTTCATCACTTTGCTTATTCCACCATAAATGTTATGTCATTGTGAGTGTGAGGACAACTATCTATGTCCTTGACCCTTCAGGAGGTAGAAAAATGACTGTGTTTTTCTTTTTTTACATGCCCTTTTATTTAAGCTCCTATGGCAACAAGATGGCAAAAGTCTGAGACTTAAGCACACAGTGCATTGAGTGTATCTTAAAAAAAAAAAAAAAAAGTCTGCTATTTCAATACTCCCTCTCTGAGCTCTGCAATGCCACCAATTGGCATCAGTGACCTTTTCTACCAGTAGCTCTAACTTTTGAAGGCTGAAATGGATTTTTCTCATTTTAACCTTGCATAAAAATTCAAAAGGCATCATTCTCCCATGTGTCACTCAGACTGGTAAGGCACAAGAGGTGACATGAGCACTTTCCAGAGGGCCCGTTATGCCATATTGTTCTAAGCCACACCTGTCAACAGGTTCACATGCTGTCCAAGTGCTCTGCACCCCATGTACCGCACCCCTGACCCTGCTTTCCGGAACTACCTGTGCCTGTTTAACTCATGAAACCACCACGATAACATCATTTTAACACTTCCTGGGCTGGAGCAACATGCCAAATGGAGTATCCAATTCTTTGCTGTCTTCACCCTGGTAGCAGAAGGTAGTCAAAGCTGTGACTAGTCTACACCTAGTGATATCGAACTTTAGGAGCATGAGAATCACTAGGTACACTTGCCAAAACAGATGACGGTCATATTCCCAGAATTTCTGATTCCAAAGGTCTGGAGTGAGGACCAAATAAATGCTCTTGTTCTAAGAAAAAAATCTTTCTCCTATGGTATAAGGTTAACTTTTGAGTCCCTGAGGAGTAAGAGTTTGAAAAGAATCCTGCTGTTATATATTTAGTTAAATCAAAAACAGACTGGTAATAATATTAGTTTCAGAGCATTTAAAACTCAGGTGCTCTGATGGGAGAAATAAACAATAAAAAGTAGTTATTAATCTTTTTTGACCAACTAATTTATGCCAGACCCTTGATGGATGGATAACAACAATTATGATTATAATCTATCATAATCATAGCACATACTAATGTAGTGTTTACCACTAAATGGCAAGCACTGTCCTAAGTGCTTTCTGGTTATATTAACCCTATTATCCTCACGACTCTATGAGGTAGGCACTCTTACTATTTCAACTGGCTCAGGAAGGTTTAGCAATTTCTATGAAGTCACACAGCTACTAAAAAGGTGAAGCTGGGACTCACCTCTAGGGGGCTGGCTCCAGAGTCCCAAGTTATACTCCACTGCATCTAACATCAGAATCTCCTCACTCATTTGACCCTCTCAAGAACCATGAAACATAGTAACAACTGTTCTTATTTTACAAGGGTGGATTTAAGGCTCAGCAAGGTTAAGTGACTTGCCCAAGTTCCTCTGCTAGTGTGTGATGGAGTCTGACTGCTAAACCCAGGCTGCCTCCATATCCATTTTTGCAAAATGAGCCTAGAATCAAAGTTGGAAGTTCTCCTTTAAGTCTGGATGTTTGACCTCAACAAAGCAAAAGCTCTAGGAGAGCCATTCCTTTTGTTGAAAAAAGGGTAAAAAATTTTATTTGCTTCTAATTATACCTGCCCATGGGTAAGCCAAAGAAAAACTTGTAAACTTGCTAAACCTTTACAAACACCATCATTAATGTCACTACTGGTAACAGAGGGACTAATAACAAAAGGTGGTATTTTGCTGACACACTAGGAATGACACCTCAAAGTTTCCTCCTTCCTTAGGTCTATGTAAAAATTAAATGCTTTAATATTAATGCATTTGGGTATCATTAAAAAGCATCTTACATATGGAATCTAAAAAAATTGAACTCGAAGTAGAATGCTGGTTACCAGGTGCTTGTTGGGGGCTGGGGACTTGGGGAGACACTAGTCCAAGGACAAAATTTCAGTTAGATAGCAGGAAGAAGTCCAAGAGATCTATTGTACAATATGGTGACTACAGTTAATAACAACTGTCACATTTTAAAAATTACCAAGAAAGTAGATTTCAAGTGTTCTCATCACAAAAAATAACTATGTGAGGAAATGCACGCTACCTCAATTAACTAACTTGACTGAGCCATTCCACAATGTATATGTATTTCAAAACATTGTATTGTACACAATAAATACATATAATTTTTACTTGTCAATTAAAAAAATAGAAAAAAGCATCTTGTCTACTTTGTGGAAATGCTATTGACAGTGGCATGTGGTTTCTTATGCGTTTGGTAATAAAATCCTCATCACCTGACATTTCCTCACTGGACATTAGGCACATCCTAATATTGAGCAATATGTATTTTGAAACTGTGAAAGAACACTTTGAAATGCTACCTGGAGTGTCTCTGATGAGATTAGCAAATCATGATGATAGAAAGAACCTTCTGTGTGAAGTGCTGGTGATTGCACTTCTGGAACTAACAGTTCTTTCCCTGCAAACTCTGAGCTGCCAGAGCTCCCTTCCTTCCTCCAGCGCACCACCAACAGACCAGTGACATGGCGGTGGGTCACTGGCTTTGTGCACACTGAGCTCCTCCACTTTCCTCTGCATGGCTTGGCCTATGTTCTAAACGTGCTAGGACAGGACCACT